GATAGAGCAGAGAGGGAAAGGTAGCCCAGAGGACAACATGATTGAGGTTTTGACCTTAACTACCTAATTATATGCTAAGTGTACTGAAATTCGCATGTGCTCGTTGTTTTTTGTTTGAAGCAAAGCCTTCTCTGCTTTATGGTAATTGTTTCTCAAACATTTTGTATTTAAAAGATATTGCCAAAGTAGATTTCCTGATATATGTTGAACAATATAAAGTGTAATACTAATTGTGTGTGGCCATCAGTGTATGTTTTCTTCATGCTTACTCATATTTCTTTCTCTACACATATGTAGGTTCCTTTTTATTTTAGGATTTTATGTTTTGTGTCATTTAAATTAGTTCTTATTTCTGGAAGGATCAATTTCAGGTTGGAATTTGACTTTGCAGTTATCACTTGCTTCATAAAACATTGATTTCCAAGGTTTTGTGTTGTTCCTAATAAGAAAATTTACTGTCTCAGAACAAGCTGGAGGATATATATAGTCTTCTCCGGTTTCTGAAGGTGGAACCTTGGGGAAACTGGCCCTGGTAAGTTTTTCAAAACTTTTGTTGGAAAATGTAGGGTATGATACCACTAAAATTGGATATGGTTGTTTCTTGAATTTCTTTTTGCATATTATAAAAACAACAATGAAATTTAAGTTTTAAATGCTTTTCTCCGCCTGCATCATTTAGACATATTATTAGCTTCATAAGGTCACATTTGTTTCTCTTTGGGGTCGAAGAGAGCGCTGCTATTTATCAGTATGAATATATGTTGAACATTAACATTATCTGTGCAATGTATGGGCTCCTCTTCTATGCTTCTATTTTTCTGTTGATATTGTATTCAAATGCATTTTGTAGGCTATGCTAAAGCTGATTCTTTGAATTTTCTGTACCTAGAAAGATTCTCTGAATTTTAGCTAACTAGCTATGATATAGGTGGAACAAACTTATCCAAAAACCGTTTGAGGAGGGCGATGAGAGAGGACTAAAGTTGGTTCAGTCAATCTTAAAGCCAATCATGTTAAGGAGAACAAAGTGTACCACAGATCGAGACGGCAAGTGAGTATCCTGTATAAGGATCCTTAGTTGTCTCATTTGAGCTTTTTATAGATGTGCTCCTAAAATTTTGTTTGTTATAGGCCAATTTTAGTTCTCCCTCCAGCTGATGTTCAGGTGATTTACTGTGAGCTCACTGAAGCTGAAAAAGACTTTTATGAAGCCCTATTTAAAAGATCCAAGGTATATCTAGTTAATGTCAGCTTCCTTCATTTATTTTTTGGTTTCATTTACATTTCTTGCTGCCTTTTTACTTTATAATTGTTGTCTTGGTGGGTATCGGTTCAGGTGAAATTTGATCAATTTGTTGAACAAGGCCGCGTTCTTCATAATTATGCTTCTATTTTGGAGTTACTTCTACGTCTACGACAATGTTGTGATCATCCATTTCTTGTGATGAGGTCTGTTGCTTACCTTTATTCCCTCCTATCTCCTTTTTACTGGTGTGATGATGATGGTGCTTTGAAGAGGCAGGTGGGAAGGTTGTCTATTTTAAATGTTCAGTTAATAGCTTATAAAGAATCTCTGTTGCTCAAATTAAGTTTATGTTGTCGACTGGACTGGTTTGAGAGATACTTGGTCAAAATTTTTTTTTCTCCTGTTGTAAAATGTTAGACTGTCCTTTTCATTGCTGATATCTGCCTGGAACTTTTTATATGGATTTTGTTACTGCATTGATTTACTCATCTTTCTAATCATCATTGTCTTTGATATTGTTGTCTTTATTCAGGCACCACTTTAGGGAAACTGGTGGCTCCTTGGATTTTTTTTTTGTAACAAAAAGTTCTATATTGGCCTGAAAAAATAGCTAAAGAAGATAAAATGCAACTGCTCTTCATTCTTATGAGTATCACTATTGCATCTTTTATAAAATAAACAAAATTTGGTTTTCAATGTTGATGGTTAATTTTGATGTGTTCTAGCCGGGGAGATACACAAGAATACTCGGATCTGAATAAGCTGGCTAAACGATTCCTTAAAGGCAGGCAGAATAATGTAGAAGGGGAAGCCAAAGATGTGCCTTCAAGGGCATATGTCCAAGAGGTGGTTGAAGAGCTGCGCAAGGGGGAACAAGGGGAGTGTCCAATATGTCTTGAAGCATTTGAAGATGCTGTACTGACTCCATGTGCTCACCGCTTATGCCGTGAGTGTCTCTTAGCAAGTTGGCGGAATCCAAATTCTGGTTTATGTCCTGTTTGTAGGTATCTTGAAATCATATTTTTTTTCTTTTTACTTTTATGGCCTCAGGTTAAGTTTAAGATGAATTTCCAAAACCTGTAGTCTTAGAGTGCTTCATTTTTACCTCACAGGAAAACTGTTATTAGGCAAGATCTTATTACAGCCCCAACTGAGAGTCGGTTCCAGGTTGATGTTGAAAAAAATTGGGTGGAGTCAACCAAGGTTGTAGCTCTATTGCAAGAACTTGAAAATGTTCGTTCATCAGGCTCTAAGAGCATTCTCTTCAGCCAGTGGACTGCATTTTTGGACCTCTTGCAGATTCCTCTTTCTCGGTAATTATTCCTAATTGATATAACACTTGTACATAATATCTGGTTTAAGCTCTGTCAGTGTCTTGAATTACTATTTCTTTCATAAAAAGCAGTTTCATGCATGGTACTATAGCACTCTTAGGTATGTTTTCATAATCTAGAGGGGCCTTTAAAAAACTAATTTATCAGATTGACAAAATTGAAGGCAAAATCTCATTCAACTTGGTTTTATTACTGATTAAATGTGATATAAGGGCACATGTAACAGAATTTGAATAGTCTGAATCTTGTTCAAGTTAATTTGGTGCAAACAATTTTTAACTAGGTCAAAATATAGTTAAAGATGGCATGCTTTTATCAGCCTTTTTCTTCCTCTCCCTTCTCGTGGCCTAGCAAGTGTTTTTACCTTGTTCATCATGAATACCTGATGATGTAGATGTCTTCCTTGTAAGTGTTGCTCATAGTAGTAAAATGCTTATTAACGTCCAGGAGCAACATTCGCTTTGTTCGACTGGATGGGACTTTGAATCAACAGCAGCGTGAAAAAGTAATAAAACAGTTTTCAGAAGATAGCAACATCAAGGTATGTGAATTTTTTCTGGATGAAGATTGATTTAATAGTTTTCTTTATGGCATGAGTCTTATTGTTAGCTTGATTATTGGATCAGGTGTTGCTGATGTCATTGAAGGCCGGTGGGGTTGGAATAAATCTTACTGCAGCTTCCAATGCCTTTGTTTTGGTATGCAGAACATTAATTTTGTATTTATTAAGTGCAGTGATTGGTGGTATGTTTTATGTTGTTTTATTTGGTATTTTGATAAGGAGTCCCATGTAGTTTTGCACGTCCATTCAGGAATTATAGCTTAGTAATAACTTAAACTAATAATGCAGCTAATTTCTGTATTCTCTATGTTTGTGTTTTGGTAAATATTTAATTGTTTATCGATGACTGAGTAGTCAAGATTTGCTTTTATGCAGGATCCATGGTGGAATCCAGCTGTAGAAGAACAAGCTGTCATGCGCATTCATCGCATTGGGCAGACTAAAAAGGTGGCAATTAAACGGTTCATCGTCAAGGTATACATTTGTCCCTTTCGAAGAAACCATTAAAGTAATACACTAGAACTTTATTCAACTGAAATGAAGCTTTTGGCCAAAAAAAAAAAAAAAATTTTTATGAAACTGCCATTTATGCTGCTGTCCGGGTATTTTGTGCTCTAGGGGCTTTTAGTAGAAATTGAGTTTAAAATTCATGTCAGAATTTTTGCAATACTGAAACATACTTTTGCATTGTTCTGAATTTTTTTGATTTCAATCCTACTTTTCTATGATGGATGTGATATCAGGGAACAGTGGAGGAAAGGATGGAGGCAGTGCAAGCACGCAAACAGAGGATGATTTCTGGTGCCTTAACAGATCAAGAAGTTCGAACAGCACGTATTGAGGAACTAAAAATGCTTTTCACTTAAAAACCATTGTAGAAGATGGGGAACTTTATTTCACTTCTCTTGTTGCATATAGCCATAGCTTTTTCCATCCTTGAAATCAAGTATTTTGGGACCTTGCAATCTTGGATGGCACGGGAGGTTCTTGGTTCCAGGTGTTACAGTTTTGAGGCAACAAATTTATGTTTATTTTACCTGAATAGTCTAGATAATGATGAGAGCTTAAGCCATTGCTGTGTTGACCCATGTTGGTTAGGATTTTCTAATTTTGGGATAATCTGGAAGTTAGAATTTAGGGATTATTGATCCTTCCTTGGGCGAGTCTCAACCAAAGACCGCTTGTACAAAGCAGGATGAGGACCTCAAATATGTTAAGGATGAAGAATACTGAGTGCATGCTAGTGTAATTTTAACTTCAGGTTCACTAATATAATTTAATGTAGCTACTAGTGTATTATAATTACTTTTTGATGATCAATTGCATCACCATTTCTTTGCTTTTTTTTTTTTTTTTTCCATTTACAAGGTAGAAAATCAAAATTTATATTTATAATGGAGTTGTAAGTGTTAAGATTTGAATTTTAATTTATTAAATGTTATAATTAATTGAATTGAACTTTAAATTCAAGATAATTTTATTTTAATGCTCCATTATTTGTTTGTTATATCCCTACGGATAAGAGTTTAAAAAAGTAATTTATTTTTATGCATGGTAGAATTTTTAAACTCTATAAATTTCGATATTGATAATTATATATTTTTTTGTTATATTAATTTTTTAATTATTTTAAAATAATATCTTACATGGGCATGTGTTGTTCTACTATTTTCGTTGATGGAATTTAAAAATTACACCTGAAAATGGTAATGCATGAAACAATTCTTTAAAAATTTCATTAATAATATACTGAATAATTTTTCTTAAAGTATTTAGTAAAAGTGTTCATGGGCTTTGGGCCCAGTAATTTAAAATTGGTTTCAGTTTTAATATCCCAAACCCAACTCCAATCGAAAGCGATCACTTGACAGTTGACACCTTAAAAACACCCAATTTCGATTATGCAAGACGCCGTTGTTTTCCTATCGCTTTTTCAAAGCAAAACAACAGCGAAGAAGTCGGTGGAGTCCTACATCAGCGCGTAAGTTTTTGATGGAGAAGATGAGTGCAGAGAAGAAACCCTCTGATGCTTCCCAGCAACGCTTATCCTGCGCCACATGCTTCGACGCTCTCTATTTCTGCTATTGTACGCCCTCCTCTATGTTTCTTATTCTCAAATTTCCCACCATTATATATTTTTTTCCGATTTATTTATTTATATTTATAGGTGAATTTTTTGGGCAGCTCCGGTTCATCAATTACAACAATATTATAGAGTAGGAGTTCTTGACAATTGCTATGGAAAATGGAATGCACTTTGGGATTGTTTGTATTTGAAAACCAAATCCCCTTCTCAACTCCAGGTACTTTTTTTTTTTAATTTTTTAACTATTATAGAAAAATAAAGGCAAATCTATGATTTCAATTTGCATGCTAGTGCAATTTTTAATACTTTTGTTTTATTTTGTAGAATAATATAGTTGCCCTATGCTTACTTTGTGCTTCGTGTTGATTAGAGGGCAATTATAGATTAGCTATCAACAATTACACATATATATTGTAATTTGGATGTTATTAGACCAATTCACATAATGAATCAGATGTAAAAGTTCTTAGTATAGGATTCGCGAACCTTTTGTATGATTCCATGGAACTCTGAAGCATCATGAGAAAAAAAGATATAGATCAAGTGTCAACTGGTATTAACTTTTTTTCATATGCTGCGAAATCGTCTCTTCAATAATGAACAATGAGAAGTTTGAAAATGTTTACTAAAGTTAAAATGTACTTAACCTTTATCTTAGAGACAACCAAAATTCTACTGCTTAAAAATATTACTGTGGTAACTCAAAACAAGATAAAAAGGAAAAGAAAGGATGACTATAAATTGGGATGATGGAAGCAAAAAGAATTAAGTGGCTAAGCTGATATTGCAAAGGAACTTTTAAGTGTGGGAAAGAATCATCATGACATCTTAGTTGAAGAATGATAGCATTCTTTTTAGAAGCCGAGGTGGTTCAAATAGTTTAGGTACACATGATCTGGATATAGGAGTGTGGAAAATCTAACGCATATTTGTTTTTGAGAAATTCAGAAAGACAATAATGGAAAGGAAAAAAAAAATACGATTATTTTCTAGGTGAAGGAGTAAGACATTGATATTTTTCCTAGCATGTGATGGTGAGAGTTAGTTATATGGCAAAAAATTGAAAGAGTCCTTAGACCCAAGCTTGCTTGTTATATATAGTGTACGATAATGTTTTAAACTATGAAATTTCTTTTTTGGGGTTCTAAGACAACATAGCATTCTTGTTGTGAATGCTAAATATGATGACATTCATTTGAATGGAACGATGACTCGAGGAGCTGTAGAGAGTTTTTGTGACTGCCCAAGTATTTGACTTTTTTTTTTTTTTTTCTCTAGCTGGAAAAGAATTCAACTTGCACTTGCAGTTTATCTTGTTCTATGTTCCAAAAGTAATGACCTAGACATGCTTAACACAGGAACTTCTAGAAGCTCGCGAGAAAGCTAAGTCCCACATTTGGACTTTTCGGACGCCTGAAGAAGCACAATCTTACTGGAAGCAGGAATTTGGACATTTAGATGATATGGATTAAACTGTGTGGAAAGCTTTAGAACTTTCTTTGCAAATGTTGTTAGCATCATTACATCTTCATTGCTTCATCTCAGATTTTGTATAACAGGTCTGACATAAACTGTCATTAAGCCTCATGGCTGAGTTTTTTTTTTTTTTTTCCTTAAGCTTCTATTTGCCTGAGATAAGAATATCTGAAATTTCATTTGTCAAGAATGAGCAATATATGAATGTGGCATATGGATACTAAAATAAGTTTGTTTTATTGAAATTCTAATCCTCTGTTTGTGATCACAAACTCTTCTAACCAAAATACAACTGAAGGTCCAAATGTACAGCTAATTCGGCAGCTTAAATTTATTCGTTAAAATTTCCGAAGGGCCCAGTAAATATACAAAAATCTAAAGCCCAAATAAACAATCAAACAGTGAAACGCTTAATAGCCAAACAAACCCAAAACCAGAGTAACGAATGCTAGCTATGAGTCAAGTAGTCAAACCAAGCATCTCCTATCACCCGTTAACAACATTTTATTCCTGTAAAAATTCTTGGTCTCGGCCTAATAATTGCTACCTTTTCATTGGAGGAGCAAGGTTTCGGTACGATTGTTTTTTTTTAAATACAATTAGGAGTGTCCCCAGAGATGTAGTTTTTTTTTTTTTTTTTTTTAACATTAACGGGATATATTTAGGATTTTATTCTTGGAATGTTCTTACAAAAATCAAATCTTGATTGAGAAGGAAAAAAAAAAAAAAACTATTTTTCTTATCTACTGGATTAACATTGTATGTGATTTCAGTACTAATTTTTTTTAGAAGAGAAAGAATTATACTTTACCCACTCTTCCAAAAAAAGTTTACAAATCAAAATTTTGCATATAAAAGACAGATAATGTGTTATGGTAGTGGTTTTGAGGACAATTTTGCGACAATGAAGCACTATAACTTGAATGATAAAGGCTGATGTACCTAAAAGGTAAAATTGAAATAAAACAAAATGTAGCCAACTTTATCATAAGTAAATTTAATCATTTCAACCTCAATTTTTTTTAGTGTCCGTTTGAATTCAACCATACTTTCATATGGTGCAATTGAATTTATTACATTATTAGTTAAATTCAGATATTAATTCCAACGATATTCTTTCAGCATAAATTTTTTATTAAATTTTTTTTAAATAATAATTACAATAATTTTTTTAATCACAGTTACAATAATTTTTATTATTATTTTTAATCTCACTATCCATCCAGATAGAGCTTTAGTATACTTATGTAAAATCAATTTTTCATTGAACTTCAAATTTAATTTAATTATTTTATATAATTACTTTTAAAATATAGCATTTAATAGATTTAAAATTCCAATTTTAAAGCTTATAATCTCTTAAAAAAAATAAATACTTTGCCCTGTTTTACTAGCTACTGATTCACAATTTTAATAGCTTTTTTTTTTGTACTTACATTTTTAGTAGCTTCAGTGTATAATAATATCATAATCATAATTATCACCTGGGGAGAAAATTTGCCACATGGTCTTAATTCTATGGTCATCACAACTGTAACAAATAATTTCTGAAGATTCAAAATCAAAATTCCAAAAAAATTAGCACCAGACCATAATAAATAAATTTCCAACATTTAGTTAATATATTTGGAAATTAACAACAGACCATAATAAATAAATTTCCAACGTTTAGTTAATATATTTGGGAATAATATCTCAAAATTATGCTAAAAAATCCAATATAATCATAAAAGTTGTTAATTAAATCAGATATTTTTTAATAATTTCATAAATCAAAAGATACCCTTTCCATTAATTAGTAAAATAAATAAATTAATTATAAAATTTTTATTTTGTCATTCTCTATTAAAAGCTAAAAAAAAACCCTACAAATTAATAAATAAAAAAAGGGTATTCTTGTAATATAAGAAACGGCTCTTCCAAATATAAATATGTACAAATATATTTCATTGTCTCCCATCTTTTCTGCTCTCTTTGTAAGATAAAAAAAAAAAAAAAAACTGCAAGGGCTTCACAAAAATCTCTCTTCTGCCGCCTTTGCTTACTCCAACGTTAGTTTTTTGAGCTTCTGAGTAAAACCCTTTGCTATATCATATCTCAACGTTCTTTTTCAATGGTTTTTTTTTTTTTTGTGCTTGAAAACTATTGTTTTTATTCTCTGCAGGTTTCGCGTTGAAAGAGGTTAATGGAGGAGAAACGAGCGACACTATCTCATGACTATGCTGTTACTAACGGGAAAGAGTCTCTGGATAACACCGAAAACAAGTCCCTCGAGAGCCAAGATGTTCAAGCTGCTGATGATGAAGGCGCTTTAGGGTCTGGAGAAGGGTCAGGTTCGGGTGCAACAAGTAAAGAAAACGTTATCGAAAAGAAGAGAGGGAGGGGGAGGCCTAGGAAGTATGAGAACGGTGTTCCAATCATTAATGGATCCATGGAAGCTTTCCCAATACCAGCGGCTTCTTCTTCAAAGAAACGGGCTCGGGGACGGCCTAAGGGTACCGGCAAGTTTCAGGCTTTGGCTTCTGTTGGTGAGTTATTGTTGCTTAGAATGAAATAGTTAAGTTCTAATACTTATATTTTAATTACGTATCTTTTGTTTTAATCTTTTGCTTTATAGTTTTATTTCTGTAACGTTCGATATATGTTTGGTAGGTCATAAATTCTAATTGTGAGTCTACAATATTGTTGTATGTTTATTGTTTCCTTTGGTTCTTAATATGTTTGTAGTTTTTGTGATTTTATATTGTTTGGTTCTTAATTATAAGCTGTCAACATGACTTTGAAATCTAAAAACTTTTATCATATTTGGTTGGTGACCCAATTTTTATCACTTGATATTAATTTTACCTTTCTCATGAGTTTTGTTTGATTCAACTAAAAGTAATTTCTTCTATGCATGTGTTATGTCCTTTGAATATACAAGTTTGAAGTTCGCATAGCAAGGTTTGTGTTCTTTTAGAATGTTTAAGAAGTTAGCCATGTTCTTTCTAGCCAGACCAACTTCTAGAATCAAGTTTGCCATAGCTACAAGCAGGTGGCTGAACTAAGCCAACCTCTATTTATAGCCTTAGCCCTTATGTCTCTGCTTGTTCTTGAAACCGATGGAGATGAATTTAGTTAATTCATTAACAACTCTTAGGAATAAGTATCAGGTGAAGAGTACCAGGAGTTGTTCCTGAATACTGGCTTCTGATGAACTCCCTAATTAAGGTAAATTAATGAAACAAAGTAACCCATTCCTTTATTTGGGTATAGGGTGTAAGAATATATAAGCTTGCTTCATTTAAGCCACATTTTCAATTTAGAGTTTAGATGCTTTGGGGCTTGATATGCACTTCAATTAATCAAATGTCTTACAATCACAAACTTCTTTGATTAAGGTGGATATATGGACACAGCTGGAGGAAGCTTTAACCCTCATGTACTGTTGGTGTACGCAGGAGAGGTAATGGTTAAATATATATGTGAAAAGGAAGTCATTACTTGGTCTTTTTTACATTCTATGGCTGTCTCATGACTCTCAATTTTTCACTTAACCTGCCTTGCAAGAAGTAGTTCTAAGTTTTCTTTTACTGACACAGGATCTTGTTAATAAGATAGCATCATTTTGTGCAAGGGCTTCTCGTTCAGTTTGTATTCTTACTGCTAGTGGTGCAGTCTCCAGTGTTACCCTATGCAAGCCTGGTACTTCTACCGGCACTTTGACATATGAGGTATGGTCGTACAATTGATCATTCACATAATTAGCTAGTATGAACATTTGCTGTTTTTCACTGGAACTATATAATTAATTAATTTCATTATTTCACAGGTTTTGTGCTTTATAAAAGAAAAAGTTAGAAAGATATAGTGTGTTCATAGTCAATTCTGTTAAGGAACATGATGGCTCTTATAATTTCTACGGAAAGTAGTCTGAGTTCATTATATTTTACAATATTCTGTTTCTGAGCATTGGTTAATAGATCATGCAATATACAAAGCCTAGTTCAATAGGGTTCTTACATTTGAATTAATTATTTTTTGATTAATATAGTTCAGCTACTTTCATTCATTAAGTTCTTTTCATATTCAACCAAACATTGCTTCTTTCACATTTAAATCCTGTGTTTTTGATTTTGAGGTAAGTTATGTGTTGATTTGAATGTTTTAATACAGCATTATGGATGTTTGAGCGTGAAAATTTGCTGTTTGTTAACTAGAATTCAACAAGAAGGGCTGATCAACACTAATTTTTGCTCCTTAATTAATGTAGGGACGGTTTGAAATTCTTTCTCTCACTGGTTCTTCTGTTGTGTCTGGTGAAGTGGGGAGTCGTCGCAAAACTGGTCTGTTGAGTGTTTCATTAGCTAATTCTCATGGACAAGTTTTTGGTGGAAGTATTGCAGGTCCACTAATAGCAGCTGGCCCTGGGCCTATCCAAGTAAAGACCTTTCCTTTCTATATTTACATGAAAGTAAAATGCTTAGTTCTCTCATCAACTTTTACCCAAGGGTCTTATCCACTCGAGATGGCATGTCGCTCATACCACCCTGTAAATATATTTTACCACTCTACATATTAATATAAGCCAAGAATATCATGCCATCTGCTATATCCAGATCAAATGAAAATCGGTTGTAGCAATTTCTCCATTCACTTGATCACTAATTATCACTTAATTGGATATACATAGCCTTATAAACTTTACTTGTAGGTTGTTGAATTTCCTCTTAGTATACTCTATATATATAGGTTCTACTTAGCTTAAATTGGATATGTTTAGACAGATCTGTTGATCTAGCACTCATTTAAGTCTGATAGTTAACTTTTGATACTCATTTGGTCATTTGGTGTTCCATTGGGTTCTTCAGCTTATTGTTGCCAGTTTCAAGCAAAATATTGGTCGCCAAATCAGGAGGAAGTATTCTGCAGCAACTTCCACATCAGCTAACATTTTTGCCAGTTCCGAAGAGGTGAATGTTCCCAGTCAAGTTACTGGAATGGCAGATGATGGCGAGAACTGTGCTCCACCCCCTGTACCAATTACCGTGTCTGTGACAGCATTTCCTGCGAAAGCAGATAGCATGAAATCGGATAATGTCGTTGCTGAAAACCATAACTTCAACTCTACTTGTCTACAAACTGTTAGTCCAAACAACTTGCAGAAAGCAGATCCCCTGAGAGAAGAAAATGTGATTGCTGAAAACCATGGCTTGAAGTCTACCTCTCCACAAACTTTTGGTCCTGACAACTTGCAGACATTGCCAGTCTCACAGCCCATATCTGATGAGATGATAACTCTAAACAATAATGCCAGTGTCCCTGAGATGCATGTAAAGGACTAAAGGTACATCATCTCTGTATCCCTCAATCTCTCTTCCCCTCTCTCTCTTGCTCTTTGTGAGATAAAGTAACATTCTGTTTTATTCATTCCTTACGTGTTGCTTTAGTGACATACACAGGCTTATTCTGGAAGTAATGAGCACAGCTTGTTGGAGTTTTACAGCAACAATGCAAGACTTTTGCCATTGAATATGGTTCTTAATAAATTAAATTTGGGATTTATTGTTGTTGTTTCTATAAAAATTTAGTTTTATTTAGATTCATCCAAGGGCTAAGGCTTATTTCATAAGACCCTTTTGTTTTGGAAATTGATATAAAGAGATACATGGATTTTATTAGAATTATGTTGTATGAAATTTAGATTAACTAGTTTGTATATAGATGAATAAGGAGCTGTCGACGCAATGGTAATCTTCTGCTCTGAACTTGCAAAATTCAATTCCATTAAATCATATATTTAGAATCTTTCTGCAGCTTCATTGAATTCATTCAATAGGTTTGGGGCATTGGAAGATTGCTTTTGTTCACTGTTAAATGAGAATATAACCATTGATGATAATATGAGATGGCAATAGCAAGCTCTCCGCTCTTAATGAAGCATTGACTAGATACAAGGCCAGCCAGTAATAAACTTGGCTTGATCATCATACATTAGCAAATAACCGGTAAGTTTTGGCATCAAGAATAATTTGTCTTACTGCTGCAACTGCTGCTATAACTCCCAGTGCAGAGAAAACCACTGCAATGGTAATATTCAACCAAAAAATGGGACTTCTCTTTGATGGCTTAAATGTCAAGTTGAAGAAAATAACAGGTAAGATGAAGTCGAGGGGCATGAAACCAAAAGCTCCAATGACTGAATTGATGTCTCCAAAAAATGGAAGCATTGCTGCAATTGTTGTTGCTATAACAACAGACAATGATCTAGAAACTACCCTTGGGATAACATTACGAGCAGAGAACTCTTTGCTATTTGGATCCGCAAAAGTTCCTTCAAGAACTTCATTTGTTGGCTGCAAGTAGACCTGTTAAAGAAACCACATTATTGAACTAATGTACCAAATATATGAATAATGAAAAAGAGAGGGGGAAACGGAAGGCACGTTCTCACCACACCAACTGCTGATAGTTGGAGAATAGTGAAGATGTTTGTCATCAAGATTAACCATTTTGGAACCAAAGGTCGCCCATCAACCAGGAAATTGCTCAGCAAAAGGCCTTCAGATTCGTTGCCAAATGCCCAATAACCAGAGATGGAAACAGTGAAGAAAGTCATGATGAGTACCGTGTAACAAACACATAACCCTTTGAACATCTTCCCTTTCACTGGTGGTGCAATAGTTGCCTGAAATCAAATTCATACCCAAGATTGTTACTCTTCCAACATCATTTAATCATTAAAAATTTGACAGTTCACTGATATTGCAGTTGAAACTGATCTTTAAGGAAAAATTATATCAACTGAACAAGTTCAAACCTGAATTTCTGGAATGATGCCATTGCCATAAGTTGTGGCAATAATGGCAATGGCATTGAAGATACCGAAAATTCGACTTTCTGTGTCACCTTTCAGGCTATAATCTTTTGTTGGTCCCTTAGATGAATTCCCTGGGAAGAGTAATACATTTATATATAATTATATTTATCAAACTGATGATGCAATTAGTCTGTCGTCTGCAAAATTACCTATATGTATGGAACCAGCAGTAGCACTGGCGCTATAGGCAAGGCATAGAAACAGGGATATCAAGTTAATATGTCTTAGTGAGTGAAAAGATGGGATTTGAGCTAAAACCAGCATCAGCAAACCAAATATAATCACGAATTCGTAAAGCTTCATACTCCCATTCGGTTGTGATAGCAAGTAAATTGCCTGCCAATTTGGCAAAAAGTTTCAAAATCTCAACAATTTAACTATAGATAATAGTATAGCAAACTTAAAAATTAGGAAAAAAAAAAGGTGAAAGTAATTGGAGCTGACCTTCATACATTGTCCTCCTAGAAGAGTGCTGGCAATTACAGCACCATAGCAGACCATGAATTGAATTGGCCCAACATAGTAACGACCCCATCTTGGCCCTGCTCAATAAAATGTGCTAAAGAGCTTAAATTAAGCAAAAATTATATAATTTTCAAGTTTGGAAAAAAGCTTTTTTTTTTTTTTATCATGTGATACTCATTCTTAATATAATTAGTTTTAAATAATAATATGAGGTGAATAAACAATTCTTCAAATATTACATAAAGTAATAATTTCATAATTCAGATATTACATTAAAAAGTTTTAAAATTCAAATATTATATTAAATATATATATAATAAAATTATATAGGTTATATATCATATAGGCGAATTAATTTAATAATATTAAATTTTAAATTAAAATGATATATTATTTTAAAGTTTAGGGTACAAATTATATATTTTATTTCTTTAAGTGCCAAGTTATGTATTTTTTCAATGTTTAGATACCAAATGTGTAATTAATTCAATATTTGTATAATAAATTAAAAGTTTAGTTCAATTATTTATTCAATAATTTTTTTTAAAAAAATCCAACTAATTCAAAATTAAAATTTTAGCACTTATAAAACATTTTCTTTTCTCAAACTGCAATTTTAAAAAAAAATATTTGTATGATTAATGATTTTTAAATTGAACCATTGACCAATTCACAAGTGTAATGGTATTTAATGGGTGTAATAGAGATGGGCAAATTATGAAGGGAAGAGAGGTCTATGGGCCAAGATTGATCCTAGGCATTTAAGTTTGTTCAATGAACCATCATAGTTCAGCCTTAAATCGACAAAAGGACAATTGTCTCAATAATGCAAAGAAAGAAGAAAGGCTATATTATTTCTAGTGCTTACCCAAGATGTCATTGGCCATGTCTCTGAAACGAAGATGTCGACGACCCAATTGAGCATGGTGTTCAAGGACAAGAGATAGCAAGTTGTAGGAATAGAAAGTGACCAAAGCTCCAATAACCAGACATAGAATTCCGGCAGCCCATCCGAGGAAGGTGAAAGCAAATGGGAGACTCAGAAGCGGTGGTGCAACAATTGATGTTGTCAAGTGGTAACCACAGTGGACCCATGATCCTGGCCAATTATTTGAACACGTTAACAAAATCAAACATTGCAGTTTTCTACTTTTCTTGACTATTATTTATACATCAGCTAATAATCATATTGTGGGATGATAGAATACACTTTTTAATTTGAGCAATCAAAATTTAATTTTTAATAATTTTAAATATAAAAATATTAGCTTTTAATTTTTTTTTTGACAAAAATCAAAATCATATATAGTTGTCACAATTCTAAATTTATTTATAGTTGAAGACGAAGATAAAACAAAATAGAAAAAGGAAGAAGTTGATAGGTATTTGATGAAAGTGTGCTACTAAAGTAATTATAGCTCGCGCCCAAGGCATTGCCCGGGGGGTTACGGTAGGTACCCGTTGGTCAAAGAGATAGAATCACACGAGAAAAATATGTAATTTTCAAGTGGAAAATGAAAGGAGAAAAAGGGGGTTTTATAAGTTTAAGCAGTTTGGCTTAGATAGAGGATTAATATATCAACTTGCGGAAAAACACTTGAAAACAAAAAATTCCTATGAAAATGAAGAGTTCGTCCAAATTAATATATGCCGTAAACCTAATAGCCTGTTAAGTGCATGTTCATGCATCAGCCTATATAAATGGATTTATGAAGTATACTATAAGGAAGATGAAATCAAAATTCTTGGACTTTGTGCCTTTGTGATAAGATGTTAAGAGATAGAATCAATTATTGAAGTTGAGAAGGAAAACAAATGAAAAAGTTACATATAGAGAGTAGTATTTTTTGAGATAAAGCTAAAGGACATACAGGGGAAAGGAGATGATCTTGTTCTTATGCTCTCTATTTAGCTACAACTTCTTTTGGTGAATGAATTTCCATTATGTAAAAAAATAAGGAAGAAGAAGATGAGGAGAAAGGAGAAAAGGGCCAGAAAAAGACAATTGATCATGTTGAAGACTTTCTTGGAAAGCAATGATCATGATAATTGGTAGCTATAGCAGTAAATAAAGAAAGAAATAGAGGCGAAAGGGTTATGACAGAATGTTGTTAGTAGTAATACTATATATTATATTTATTAATACCTTTGGATTTAAGAACAAAGAGAGCACCAGCATCAATCTCCTTTTGTTGTTGAGAAACCTGCTTGACATGATCTTCTCCTGTTTCATTCATTGCTATGGAGCTTGGAGGCAAACTACCCATCTCTCTCTCTCTCTCTTTCTTAGAATAGCAAACAACACAGAAGGAAAGATGGGTTGGAATTGAAGACCTCAAATGGAGGAAATATATAGTATTACCTTTAGCTATGGAGGCAACAAGGCTAGCTGGCTTTGACAATGCTGATTTGCCCTTTCCCCTTACTGTTCTTTCTTTCGTGTTTTTGTGGGCACTTGGTTGTGAAAGCAAAAGGCTTACTTAACAGTCAAAGCTCCTGTTTCAAACCATCATGTCCAATTATCTTAGAAAATTGAAAAGATATTGTGAAAACAAGTGGCGAGCCAGATCATCATGCCCTTCCCCATATATATTGTGTTCAAGATTCCACATCTATTTTTTTTTTTAATAAAAGATAGAATTGGTTTCATTCATTAATTTTTCATGGCAAACACCTTCATCTTAGCCACATGAACATTTGAGTGGCCTTTATAAATATGGTATCTATTTATATATTATGTATGTATATTATTTTTACAACAAGCATATAAGATAATAATTTTTAATGTAATTATTTAAATTTATTTATAGACTTAAAAAATTTTACAAACGATTCAGAATCATCTGTTTATAAAAAAAATGTCAAAATTATATATGATATATGTATAGCAAGAGCAACTATATGCGAGCTGCCAGTTGGGATTTTCATGTGTGAACAAAAATAAAAAACCCAAAAATCAATTAAATCTCCTTGCATATTGGGTGCATCAGCAATTCGAGAAATGACAGATGAGAGGAGGGCCTGCTATCAATTCGTCAAACATAGCTAAATGATGTGAAAATATTCACCTATAACTATAGTTTATAAAACAAAGACCAAGGAATCTGAAAATCATTGGTTAATTATATGCTTTGATGTTCATGATTTCTTTAGATTTTAATTAGTCAAATATTGAGTGGGATCATGAGTTGTGTTACATGTGTGCAGAGTTGGGAAAAGAAAATTGAGGCGAAAAATGAGATTCTACGTTAATTGGTTACATTTTATTTTGTCAACGACCGACTTGTTTCCGTATTGGCTTTGATTACGAAGTGTGCCAAATGGTTGCATTTGTGTATGAATATATTATTCGTAAGCAAGGCCTAATGTGACAAACTCAAATGTGATAGGAGTTTATTTTCAAATGATTTGGTTCACCCACTA